TTGTGAGGGCCCCTCTCAAGGAAGACATTTTCATGCGATTGCCGGAAGGATGTGGTGCGTTGTCGGGGAAGATTGTGCAGTTGAACAAGAGTCTTTACGGTTTGAGGCAGGCATCTAGAGAGTGGTACGCGTTGCTGAAGAAGTGTCTTTTGGCTTTGGGTTTCGAGCAGTGCATGGCCGATTCGTGTGTTTTTCGTCTAGTCGAAGACGGGGAAGTAGTGTTGATCCTAGTAGTACACGTAGACGATATCTTTGCAGTGGGGACGAAGGAGAGGTGTGATCAGTTTGGAAAGGACCTGGGAGAGTACGTACCGGTGAAGTCTCTGGGGGAGTTGCAGTGGTACTCTGGTTGCTATTACGAGAGAGACAGAGAGGCAGGTAGATTGACGATTTCGCAGGAGACATACACTAAGGAATTGGGAGAGAGACATGGTGTGGAGTGGGGCGGAGGCATTCCTTTGCCCACGACTTGGAGACTTTGGGACTCTGACGTGAATGAGCCGAGCGTAGAGTACCCATTTCGCGCGCTAATTGGTTCGTTGCTATGGGTAGCTTTGTTGACTAGGCCGGATATCGCGAATGCAGTGAGGGCAGTGGCGAGGTACTGTAGTGAACCCAAGTTGATACACTGGAGGGCTGCACTTGGCATCTTAGGATATGCAGTTAGGACTAGTTCTTTCGGGATTTCTTTTCAGAGGGGGACGGTTTCAGGATTTTCTTTGATCACGTTCGCCGACGCGGACTACGCCTCGCGTGCGGCGGATCGCAGGTCGGTTTCAGGGGGAGTGGTAATGTGTGCAGGGGGAGCGATCGCATGGTTTTCCAAGACTCAGAAGTGTGTGACTTTGTCCACCACGCAGGCAGAGTACGTGGCGATGGCGGATATGGGGAAGGAAATTCTTTTTTTGAGGGAGGTTTGGCGTTTTATGTTGCCGAAGGAGTTGCGGCCGTGCATTCCACTGTACGAGGATAATGAGGGTGCTATCCAGATCGCAAAACACCCGATCTCGAATTCCAACTCGAAGCACATCGACGTGCGGCATCACTTCCTCAGACAACTGGTAGATGAGAAGGAGGTAGAGATCATTCATGTAGCGTCGCAGTATCAGCATGCTGACTTCCTCACGAAGGCGCTACCTGAGAGGGATTTTGTGTTCCACAGGGACTACGTGATGAACTTGATGTGAGCAGTCCCGAAATTTTTTTTTGTGTTTTTTGTTTATGTGATTCTTTCGATTTGAGTTTCTTCTGAGGAGTTGATATTCTACGAGTTTGGATTCAAGATTGACCGATGGATTTTCTCTGAAGTATTTCTGGTTTAATGGTTGGGAGTAACTTCGAATCGTTTGGAATTCTAACGAGTATTGTTTCTGGTTTAATGGTCATGGTGTTTTGGCAAAGACGAAGGATGAGAGGAATGGAATGTTGATCACTAATCTATGATCTCAGGTATTTGGTATGAGAGGGCATACATGCTAAGGTAGTTATATGAATCCGGGTAAAATCTTGCCAATGCAGCGAGTAGGGGGGCTGTTGGATGTACTCACAGCAGGACAGATTACTTCGAGTAAGAACTTTCCGAACAGATGGAGCGGAGAGTTTGGGGGTTCAACAGTTGGTATGGATTAGAATTGGTGGTACAAACTTTATCACCTATTGCAGGATTGAGGGTATGGGTGTCTACAGCGGAATTGTGTGCGTGGCTTGTGGTTTCTCACTTCCTTTTTCGTGTATAATCAAGTCCCTTTTTATCCGGCTCTCACGCCACCCACCGGCTTCCACGCCACTACTCCGGCTATCACGCCAACCCGACTTCACGCATTCAGGACTTCCACGTCCCTACATATACCTTTACATCAGGGCTTCCACACCACCTGGCTTCCACGCCACATCTATAATATACCCGAGCTTCAACGCTCCACCACGTAGGAGGGCTTTCACGCCTGCGGATAGTTTCTACATTTTTCACTATTGCCAGTACCCAGCTGCTGGCACCTTTTACTTTCCGCCACGGGACCCCGCGCCGAGGCACCCACGCACAAAGCTACTCAACACTGGACACTTGGACTAGTATTGTCTTTACATAGGCTAGTCTACCCGGCGTGTTTTTGCACAACCACAGCGAACGGTACATTTTCAAAAGAAAATGAACAGCCTCCGTTGAGCTACTAGACCTGGCGGAGGTATGGACTACATGGTACTACGGGTGGGCCGATGCGTGCGGATGGATGATGCATGTCTGGTGCTACGAACGTCAGGGTAATGGTTGTGACGTGCAAGTGACCAAAGAAAATCCCCGGGGACTGCACTTACTTGCCGGTGTTGCACAACCAACGGTACATTATTTTCAGATTGGATATTGAACAGTCTCGGTTGAGCATATCTGACGGTACGCAAGGAGGAGGTGCGAGATGTACGCATGTATGTATCTATCTATGCATACATACACACACGTGAGTCCTCCGAGGCCAAGCGAGACTTCTATGTGTACTTGTTCACACAATCAACAGTCAGCCATTCGTCAACTATAGTCTAAAGACATAGACTACTACGTACGCGAATTAATGCTGACTGATCATCTGCCCTGATTCCAGCTGCCGAATATGTCGGGCGGGTGTGCCAACGATGCTCACATAAACCGCTTTGCACTCAGGGATATCATCTATTGTCCGCATATATTCGTTGCCTACCTGCAGACAAATATCATTATTGCTGTTACAGCGAACAAACAAGCAGCTATGTAGCTACGTTCATTTTTGCTGTGGGGTCAACAGCTACACTGCCGCTGTTGTTGGTAAAAATTAATACCAAGCCAATAGACTATTAATTCCAATATATTTCTAGAAAGATGTACGGCATGATAGTGCCTTTTGGGCGTATTTGGCTCGTTGTGGCCGCGAGAGGGTTCCGCGTCAGTTGGACCAAGGTGCGGATTATATGTATACAAAATGACAAGGCTCGGAGAACAGAACGGAACGTTTTTTTCATGGATGCATGGATGGCTCTAGATAGCACTTTCGTGACCAGGGGCCGAGAGTCTTTGCTAGATTTTGGCATTTAGCAACTGGCATACGGTTTAATGTGAAGTCAACAACAACAACAACAACAACAACATAGTCTAGACTATTGCTGTATGTGCGTGACGACATGTCACAGCAGTTGCACAGCAGTACGATAGCAGGAGACAACAAGCGGAACATGTTCGCGGGAGTTCTGGTGCCGTTGGAAAGATCTCCGTTGGAATCTCCGTTGGAATTTCCGTTGGAATTTACCAACTCCAACACAGCAGACTTCAAAGAACTCAAGAGATGGTTTCGTTCTGTCATACCATTCGAAGAAAAAAATATCATTTCAAGATTTTGCGTTGTGGCAGAATGCTCGTCGTGGTGGTTGATCCCGTCGTTCTTGTTTTCTTCACATTATGTTGCAACGGATGAAAAAGTCAACGAATACAATGGGATCCTACAAGAGCCGCAGAAGCAGCAGTTCGCTCGCTGTCGCATCATGCCTCGCACAGTCTATTTCACATCCCCACTCTCGTCACATACTCTTCTACACCCAAGGCCACACACACCACGCACACTACTATCTCTCTCTTTGTTACCATGACTCGCGTTGGTGCCATCGCTGCCTTCGCGGCCGGATTCGTGCAAGTGTCCTTTGCCCACATCCTGCAGAAGTATCCGATGTCCCGGCAGCTATCGCGTGGAATAGACTTCAAAGCATGGTGAGAGCACATCTGCTGACTTGACGAAGAGATCGTGTTCTCTGGGGCCAAAGGTTATGTGGGCTAGTGCACACTAGTCATGCAGGAAGTGGGAGCAGTACATACAGCAAGACAGCAAGACTGCTGCTGCTGTGGATGTCCGGCCCCAGCTGTTCTGTCTCTCTCACTTTCTCGCTCGCTCGCTCGCTCGCTCTCCTATCTCTTTCACTCGCCCACCTGGGCGCATATCATGTGAAAGGCCCCCAAAGCCCGGATTTCGAGAGCAGCAGCTGAGTTACAACTTTCGGAGCGGAGGATCTAACAGCCCTTTCTCTCGGTCGCCACACCCGACCCTTGCTTCCGCGAACCTCCTTTTGATGCAACAGGGACGATCCGGAAGTCGAGTTCTGCCCCCACTGCTACAACGCTCGCGGGCCCAAGTACGTGAAGCAGAGAGCCCACGACAACGTGGACACCGCCACCCTGAACGCGTACGGCGGCGGGGAGGAGTTCCCCCTCTACTTCGGCGACTTCGCGGACAACGGGAACTACCTCGAGACCAACGAGATAGCGAAAAGGCACGGCGTGTGTGGCGACCCGGAACAGGTACGTACGTCGGTGTCGTGGTTTTATGATGGGGGAGACAGAGACACTGCTGCTGCTGTGCACAAGGCTGGACCTGCTGTTCGTTATCGACTGCTGTAACAGCGAGGCGCCTTACTTTGAGGAGAGAGAGAGAGAGAGAGAGAGAGAAGGTTGTTTGGTTGATGCACGTACGCTCGATTTTACAGCGTTTTTTTAGGAGCAAAATTCGTGTGGACTTCATTAAGAAGCGCCCTCGTGCGAACGAACCAAAGGCGTGGTCCCTGTTCGAAACAAAACAAGTCGTGGTGATGGTGCGAGGAAAACGCAGTGACTGTTGCTGCTGCGTTCGCACGAGGCTGGGAAATGCCCAACCTGATGAACACGTTCTCGTGTAAGAACGTTGACCGTTATATGTGCGGACCACACAATCCAATCGGCGTCAGTATTATTCCTGATACTATTTTTTCATATCACACACCATCCCTGTGGTTAGTTCTGCGTTGGTTCGTCTTCCGGAACGGCGCTCCAAGACGTCACTACCGCTGTAGGAGGCATGTGAAGTCATGTTCGACTGCTGTTGCTTCACAGAGAGGCACGAGAATATTCGACAAATGCAAACATGAGATTTCAGACATAGTCCGTCCTCCTCTGCGTTTGCCTCGTCTGGTATCTATCGTATCTTTCTCGCAGAACGCCGATGAAGGCACCAACGTCTACAGCACCGCGAACATTAACTGGGATCCACTCGATTCCTTCACGAGCGGACAAGTGCTCGAGATGGACATCGTCATGAACGCCTACCATTGGGTGAGTAAAGAGTGCCCACTGCACGCTTGAAACAGCCCATGCTCTCTGAATGATCCAACAGCAGCAGCAGCAGCAGGAAGATGGTTGTAATAATTATGGTCTGCATATTTCGTGTTGGAGGTCTGCATCATGCCGTGCCACTGCCAGCCACACGTTGCACGTTCCAAGGATCCGTATCCAAACATTGGAACTCTGGAACCCCCGGCGGGCAGCACACAAGCTCCTGCACACAACATCAACAAACTTTTATCTCCCCCATCCGCGACGAAGGAAATTTGTTCGAGTTTCTCCCACCAAACCAAACAAATCCACCCATTCACCCACCCACCATCCAAAACGCTTCGCCTTGGTTTATTCTTGGTTGTCTTGTTCGCGTGCAGGGGCACTGCGAGTTCTTCGTGTGCAACACGGACGACATGGACGACCCGGACGGCGTACCCACCCAGGAGTGCTTCAACATGCACCCCCTCACCCGCGCCGACGACGATGGGGACGCCAGCCCGATCGACCCCAACTACCCCGGACGTTACTACGTGGACCCGGAGTGCCGCGAGGGGGAGACAGAGCAGAGCAGCAACAGCATCGAGGGCTACAACATCAAGATGCGCTACGTGCTCCCGGACATCGAGTGCGAGCACTGCATCCTGCAGATGGTGTACTGTGAGTCAATAGTGTTTCTTATTGAAAAAATATGAGCGCCGTCCTGCTTCGCGTTCCGACCAGCAGTGAAGTCTTCCCTTTGAAAGAGCACACATGCATATATGCGCATGAGTGCATCCGCGTCTAACGGCTGCTGACGCTCCCCCCCCCACCCCGGTTCTCTTGCGTCCGCGAACAATAGACACCGGCAACACGTGCAAGCACATCGGGTACGAGGAGTTCGACCCGCCCTCATGGCCGAGCTCCTGCGCCCCGAACAAGTGGGACTGGATCGAGCTCGACCGCTACGTGTGCGGAACGCACGGACGGTACCCGGAAGAGTTCTGGGCCTGCTCTGACTTCAGCATGACCTCCGGTGAGAACATAAGAGAAAAACGGTGTACATACTTCGTTGGGCGGGCTGTATGCAGCTGCTCAAACGACATCCGGTGAGAACAGAAGAGAAGAATGGTGTTCTCGTCATAAATACCTGGGACTTGATGCTCGTCCGCCGTCTCTAGGGGAAGTGCCACCTACCGCCGTGACTGCAGCTTAGCATCATTCGCGCCACTCACCCTTCGGAGAAAAAAATGTTCCGTGTCATCGTGGCGGCCTACACGCGCTTCCTGTTGCCGTTCCTTCCCGCTAGATGCTACCGCTGCCGCTCATCACCCACCCACCGCCCGTAATTGCTGCCTCCCAGATGGCTCGGCCCCGGCGCCAACACCGGTGGACGCGCCGATGCCCGACCCCGTGGACGAAGCGGACGACGACGATAGCACTGACGGTGGCATGGAGATGTACGAGTACGTCGGCTGCTACACGGACAGACAGGACGACCGGGTTTTGGGAGACAAGCTGGACTCCGACCTGATGACCGCGGATGTGAGAATCAAAGAAAAAGCCGCGCATGAGATATTTCTGGAGATGTTTCTATTTGTGTTTGTTTTCCTGCGACAGAGTAGATTGTACAGAATCAGCTGTAGGACGGGATGAGATGTCGTACTCCTTGTTGTGGGAAGTGTAGGCGTGGGAAGAAACACGACGTGCCAGACCAAAACATTTCGAAGACGTCGCTGTTGCGACCGCTCATCGAATGTTGTCGTGTTCACTTGCATCGCACTTGTGCACTCTGCACGGCCACGCACGCGACCGCTCCTGGAACTTTGTTGTGTTGACTTGCACTGCGATGCCTTTGCCCTCCCGCTGTTCCTCAAATTCTTAGTTCTGTTACGAATACTGCTCCGAGATGGGCGCCGCGTACATGGCCACCCAGTACGCCTTCGAGTGCTTTTGCTCGGCCGACGAGGACTTGGACTACGAACGCCACGGAACGGCGATGTGCAACATGGGCTGCTTGGGAGACGAGGTGACAAACAACATGAGTGGAGAAAATTGTTCCCATGTGGAAAAAAATACTTAGAAAAGCCTTGTTGCTCGACGACGTTCCTAACACCCCCCAACCACACACTCACGTGTTTCGCGACTGAAGGACCGATTGATAAATCCCAAATCACATGAGAAAAACTGTTGGCTCTCACTTGTCGTTCCATTGTTGCGCGCATGCATACACCGACCGGTCTTTCTGTGAACTCTCCCTCTCACACCCGCCGCTGCCCTCGTCCCCCGTGTACCTCCACCATAACAGGGGGAGACCTGTGGCGGTGAAAACGCGTTCGACCTCTACAAGATCATGCCTTCGATGAACTCGCCCACGCCGGCAACGCCTTTTTCCGAGCCCGAGCCCGAGCCGACCACGCCCTTGTCCGACGGGTGCGCGGAAGCATGGGGGCAATGCGACGGTGGCAACTGGGAGGGTTCGACCTGCTGCGTGGAGGGCTACAAGTGCGTCCCCGACAATGACTGGTACTCACAGGTACGCGGCGGCGCTGAGCGGACCGGACCCTAGTCATCCATCAATTCAGAAATGCCTGGATGTGGCTTTTTTGAAAAAGGGTAAGGGTGTCAATCGAAGAGGCTGCATTGGACGGGCTCTCTGGTCATGAGTCAGAAATTCTGTGTGCGCGCCGTTTTTTTCCTTGATGAAAGCTTCGTGGTTGCTGATGTACAGTAGGGTGTCGTGCCATTCGAAGCGGCTACTGCTGTGGCGTCGTGTTGTTGTTTGAGGTGTGCGTTCACGTTATTGGCGAACGTGCGCAGGAAGATGATGTTGTCTACTTGCTCGCTCTTGCGGGTCCTTGGCCAAGCGGTTGGGTCTTGCCTGGGATCGCCTGCCAAGCGTATTCCTCCTCCCACAACGCCTCACTGGCAGCAGTCACCCTCTTATCCTCCCGCATGCCTTCATTTTTGGCCTCCCGACCGTACCACCGCTTCGCAGTGCCGCCCTACGGCCTAAATCGTCGTCCGCCCTGGGTGATCCGGGGGTGCCCCATCCGCTTTCAACAGAGAGGCGAAACGGCTATGCAAGCAAGCGGTACTTGTCGCGAAATATTGCGCGACAGGCCAATTCTAGAGGCGTCTTTTCCTAAAGTTGTTTCGGCTGAGTGTCCCGTCGTACCTGCAGCTCATGGGGATTGTGTTCTCAATGTAAACGCACGTCGTATGCCGAGAGTGGAGCGGTATGCAGGAACACGGTGTGAGAAGAAATGTGCGTGTGCACGTACATGAGAGGTTAGCGTATCTGTTTGCTTGGTCTTGTGTGTTTTTGTCGTTCCTGCTTCGAAGCTTAGATGCTTCATTTAACTACATGATGCTTCATTTAACTACATTGCTTTTGTAAAATATTCGGGTTGGTTAGTAGGGTTCACTCAAGGTTGGGGTTCTCACCCTCATATGTCGTTAGTTGTGCACAATTCGAAGCCAGAATCCCGGGTTTTACCTCCGGCTCCGTTTAACTATTGCAAAGCTTGTGAAGTGGTCGAGTTGGTTAGTAAGGTTTACTAAAGGTCGAGGTTCTCGCCTTCAGATGTCGTTAGGCGTGCGGTTTGGTATCTAGCATGCGGGACGGTAATATGGTGGTGGGATTTTGCGTGCGGTTTGTTGCCTAGCTTGCGGGACGGTAATATTGGTGGTGGGATTTTACTTTCACGCTGGTGCTTTATCGATCTACTTCGTTTTTGCCATGCGAGTTTGGTGTGTGCTCAGTTCCGCCGACTTTTTTTTTTTCGATGTCTTCGTTATCCGTGACAGCGTGGGAGTCGTTGGTTGTTGGATCACTTCTTTGTGTTGATGAGATGAAACGTTTTGTGTACAGAGGTCGTGTACCCCGCATGTCGCGCGGTATTCTTAGCGAAAGAGTTGCGACAGAACTCCACCGCCATTTTCGGCTTCGTAGTATGTCTCGTTGGCCGGGACAAAAAGCCGAGAGCGATTGAAGACGCAGGTGTGGATGACTCTCATGTTTTTCCTTGCAATAGATGTGCTCTGCTGCTGTAAGTGTTGTTCGTGATAGTTTTTATCGGTGTGTAATAAATGAAATTTTTACACTTCCATGTTGTACTCTCGCTCACTTCATATGGTCTTGGTAGGGTTGGTTGTGTTCACAAAAATCACGTCATGATTGTTGGAAAGCGTCCCTGTTTTCTGTAGATTTGTTTCGTGATGATCGTGTGTGTGCGTGATGGAAGCTTGGATAACTTTTGTCCTCAAATGAGATTCGGTGTGTGCACGCTGTGAATCATGTGAACTTTGATGTAGGAGGCGGGATTGCCGTTGTCGGCTTCGGCGCACACGCGCTGTACTCCATTCAGATTGGAAGCGCCACGTACTTGTTGTACCCCATTCAGATTNGGGGGGGGGGGGGGGGGGGGGGGGGGGGGGGGGGGGGGGGGGGGGGGGGGGGGGGGGGGGGGGGGGGGGGGGGGGGGGGGGGGGGGGGGGGGGGGGCGCGTTCTGTCGTTCTGTCGGTGAGACGCGGAGTACCGGCCGTACACACAGATTCGGCGTGCCTTTGTATCGCAGCGCGGAGGATATTGGCAAAGAACGTCGGGGAGGGATGCGGATTGGGTTTGGCGTACCCTAGCGTTCGATGGAGGGAGGGATGGCGAGGCAACCGGGACAGGTTACAGGTTACAAAATGGGGTAATTGATATCGTTCCGGTTGCCGAAGCTNGGGGGGGGGGGGGGGGGGGGGGGGGGGGGGGGGGGGGGGGGGGGGGGGGGGGGGTGGGGGGGGGGGGGGGGGGGGGGGGGCGCGTTCTGTCGTTCTGTCGGTGAGACGCGGAGTACCGGCCGTACACACAGATTCGGCGTGCCTTTGTATCGCAGCGCGGAGGATATTGGCAAAGAACGTCGGGGAGGGATGCGGAGTGGGTTTGGCGTACCCTAGCGTTCGATGGAGGGAGGGATGGCGAGGCAACCGGGACAGGTTACAGGTTACAAAATGGGGTAATTGATATCGTTCCGGTTGCCGAAGCTCGGGTGTCTGAAGAAGTGAGACCTGCCCGAGATCGATGTGGTACGTTGGGTAACTATGGAGTGGAGACCAAGGAACGGGCGGACGGGGGGGAGGAAAGGGGATTCCATAGGGTAAAACCAATCCGCTGGTAGCGTAGGGGTGGTGCGGTGACTGTTTTACACTGATGGTGCTGTGGAATGGTCCTGAGGGTATAGCCTAACGATCCTCTCTCCTC